GTCCAAAACTTTGTTTATACATGTTTGCTGTGTGTTTTGTATGAAGGAGTGTGCTTTTTTTTCTTTTTTTTTTTGTTTTCATTTGTACTGTATGTCTGGTCCTATAGCTTTTATTACAGCATGCAGATTGTGAAACAGGTTGCACTGAAAAAAAAAAAATCATTAGGAGGTAAAAGTTTTTAATAGCAAAATGTACTAAAATTGCCCTTAGGTCTGGAAGGGTTAAAAAATTCTTCTTTGCCTCCAGGGACAAGCAGCTGCCAATTAAAGTGCTACTCTGCCTCAGGATCAAAAAGTGGTAAAATAAAAGACAATAAATCAATTTTTAAAAATCAATTATATGCAAGGTCCTGTGCAAATGATGTTTTAAAGTGTTGTGTGCTCTCAAAGTGCTATATGTGTAATTCAAAGTGTGTTAAGTGAAGGGTGAAGGTGCCTGTGTGGGTTGAGTTCTGTGGGCTGCACTCACACTTGTGAACAAAACCACAGCACAGTGATCATCATGTACGGGCGTTTTGTTTACATGTCAAGCAGAAGTACAAAGGGTGAAGTGTAGAACTTAAGCGCTGATATAAGTCCTGCAGTGACACGTGCGGGAATTTAACGCTGGACACAAACATACTGCACTTGACAAGTTTTGGGAATTTTTGGGTCAGTCAACGCTAATGTTAAGAAGATGTGGCACATTGTTTTGCCTCATGAAGGTTTTGTAAGTTTAAAGGTCCTATATTACACAAATTTAACTCTTGTGAGCTTTAAGTCATGTTTTGTTACCTCATCAAAAACATACTCAGAGTTGCATTTTGTTTCATTCAAACATGTTTGAGTAACCCATTATTATTACTCCGTCCACACCTCCAAAGCTCAAAATGCTTTCTTCCACTTTGTGATGTCATGAGGCGATAGTTCAAGTTAACAACCGCCTTTTACCGTTTGTTCAGTAGAGACTGGCAGTTGAAACTGGCTGATATTTTCCAAACAGTTCTAGTGAAAGCTTAGAGTTTAAAAACACAATGGAGCACTTCCTGTATTACTACATGACATTACAAGGTGGAACAGTGTGTTTTCTGTTTGAGAGCAGAGCCTAAATATACAGGGTTTGTGTGTTAAACATGTGTGAATCAAACAAAACACAACTCCAGGTATGTTTGTGATGAGGAAACTACATTATAAATCGCAGATAGTGTATATATATATATATATATATATATATATATATATATATATATATATATATATATATATATATATATATTTTTTTTTTTTTTTTTTTTTTTTTTAAGACAGTGTGTAAGATTTCTTATTCTGGTGAATCAAAATTAACCATAAAATGAATGGATTCTCAAAAGGTTCCTAAGTTCCAGTATCTGCCCCTAACTCATTTTATTGAAAAAAAAACATTGTGACATTGCATTATGCATCCACAGCCTACTGGTTACCCACCATTAGTGTGATAGATAATAGCATGATCGCTGTATACCAAAAGCATGACTCCTGCTGTATCGCACACTGTTCTTTCAGAGGAGCTGTGACTTTTTCGGCCTTTACTTTTCTTCATTTTAATAATCCTCACAGTGTGGAATCACAGGACTTTAATGCTCCCTCTGCAGCTTTGGCTTCTGTGAGACAGGCTCATATTTCTGAGTGTGCTGCATCAGAATTTCACACTGTTCTCCAAAGTCACTGGGAAACTTTCCCTTTCATTCCTCAGAACTATTTTTGATGCTACATACAGAACTGATTTTCCAAAAATACAAAACGGAAGATTAAAGTTCTGTGTGATGCAATCTGATATCAAATCTTTCTGCATGTGTGGTGCCCTTTTGAGTGTCCTGAGAGACTGGGCTTGGCATGACTAATGTAGATGATCAGAGCTGGAGAAAACCAATTACTGTGGTCATCACTGCTGCCCCTGGGCTCTTTAGAATGGGATGGAATGTGTTACAGAATGCATTTTTTATTTCTTTTTGGAGTTTCATTTAGCTTTATGATCATTCAGTTTAGGTTAACAGCTTGGTCTTTTTTCAAACAGTGCCTCAGGGCAACCTGTCTGCAGCAAAAGATTTACCTCCAGATCTTAAATTAAGATATTCATGAATATCTAGCTGCAGATTAGCCTACTTTGAATGTCCATGAGTTGGGAGTACTTTGAGGAACCCACCCAGACACAGAGAGAGCATGCAAAGTGCACACAGACGCCCCACTTATGAAGCAAACCCTCAACATTCTTGTTGTGAGGTTGTATTGCTACTCTTGAGCGACAGTAGCTCAGTTGGTAAGGTGTTTTGTCCACTGACCCACAGGTTGGCGGTGCAATTCCATCTCCCACAGATACCTGCTGCTGTTAACTTCCCTCGTCCCAAGAATCTGCGTACACCGGTGTATGAATGTGCATGTGAATGGGTGAGTGGTTCTTTGATTTGAAGTGCTTTGAGTGCCTTGAAGGTGGGAAAGTGCTACATAAAATTGTGATCATTTACTCTGTCACAATTCTGCTTGCAAAAGGCCCTTCCAGCATACTGAATCATTTGAATTTCAATACTACAGCATTGCTCTATCACTTCACATGGACAAAACCAACAATCTGTCTGTGTTCCAAACAGACCTCCAGCAGAAGATCTCAAACTCTGGATTATGCTGCTCCTCCAAGATGTACAAAGACTACAGATCAACATCACGCTCCAGGAGGTTGCTATTTGAGTTCTGTCGCTTTAACTTTACTTTGTTGTGCTTATTTCTCACAGTTACTTTCCAGGAGTTCAAGTTTGCCAGGTTTGAATTTGGAAAACTTTCTACAATTTTCTGCATGTTTTCTTTTTGCTTCATTTCTGTTCTGTGTGCACTGTGCAAACTCAAACAATGGACGGTCACTACTCACTTGCTATCAACTTGCTGAGAGAAAGTGAATGGAAGAGAAGAGGAGTCCTTTTCCTGCAGCTCTGATGAGTGTGTCCTTTCCCATTGCACTCACACAGAGCAGTAACAGCTCAGACAGCTCACAATGATACTGGGGCTCTCTCCTTCTTCCTGTCTGTCTCCTTTTCTCTCCTCTCCTTAATAGTAACCTGGGTCCATTTTCCTCCATTGCAAAAGAAAGTTTAAAGTTCAGGTTTTCTAAAGTGGTTTCACAATAGTGATGGGCAGATTGATACCAATATATCCATATACCGAAGAATATTGCTACTTAAAATCTTACAGAAAATTGCTGTTTGCTTTAATCAAGTTTTAATATTTTTTCAAATACATTTTACATGTACGTAATACAGTTTTGTTTATCTCCTCATATATTTACATTTTACTCCTAACACATAATATATTTAGATCATCATGCTACCCTTAATTGTTTTGAAAATGCTATATTCACCGATAAGAACGTAGCAACATCTTTTACAAGTTTCACTTTCATTTTGACCCCCTTTTCTTTTGCTCCCTGTGTCAAGACACCCCCTTCAGACTGCTATTCTCGCTAATGAAACTACTGCACATCGCACCATGCATGCATTGGCAAGCTGTTGTATACAGTTTTGTATCATGTTTTTGTTTATAATTGTCAAGTAGGACATGGGTGATGTAGGCTGATTATGAGCTGAGATCTGGACAGAATCTTACAGCTAACTGTGAGGGAATAGAGACTGGGAGAAACCTCTAAAATACTCAAACATGCATGAGTGACATCTAAAACCTCTTCAAGAATGTTTTTGATGAGGGAATAACGCTGTAACATGGTAGAAAACTAGAAAAAAATGCTATTTTGCGTAATACCTCCTCTTTAAACATGTCTATCTTGTGTTTATTCAATTACCGACATGTTTATTGCTAAACAATCTCATCGTAATTTGGCCTTTTATCACCATAAGTTAGAATAAACTGTGGAACATTCCAGGTAACGTAATAGCATATCTCTGGAGAAAAGCAGGTGGCGGACCATGCACCAAAAAAGTTACATACTGCACCTTTAAAGTTCCTCCACTATAAAAGTAAAATCCTTTATAGTAAAGAAGTTGTGCTGCATTTTATTAGAAAACTCATCTGTATTTATATCAAAATTAATATTGTGATACCATAGTATTAAGTGGTATCGGGCCGGGAGAAATCACTGAAATCGCACATCAGTTCACAAAAGGCAAAGGTAGCCATTAGCTGAAGAACTGGAAACAAATGTCAGCAATTTAGAACAGCTTTTTGTGGAGGTTTGGCTGCAACAGTGGATCTGGCTTTAGCTTTTATTTTATCTCCGGGGCAGTGAAGTTTAAGACCCGTGTCTGGGTAATGGCATAAGTGGGGCCATTTCACACTGATGGCCATCTTGTTCCACAACACAGCTCACATCTATTCTAGCTATCTTTAAAAACACACACACACACACATACACATTAAAATAGTATTCTCAATAGGAAGACCAGCACTCCTTATGGACTGATTTTCAAAAGATCACCTCTCCACAGATCTAACCTGTAATTTGGCATATGTTTAATGCTGTACAGTGGAAATTCCCAGTCTAAGCCATAACATCGCCACGGAGACAGGCTGGTGGCGGACCTGACAAGCAAAGGTAGCCTACATTTTTCACCTTTAATGTAAACGAGATTTTCTGGGATTCATATAGGCTACGGCTCCTCCCATTGGCAGAACTTCAGAATGACACTTACGAAGTCGACCAGCGCTGTCTGGAGTTGAGTTTGGAAACACGAATTATGGACCATCTTTTGCCCTAAGTATGCATGCACCTTTCAGCCGTGGCAATGGATGAGGGTAGATCCAGGACCGCGGGGTGAATTTATTTACGGACCCCCTGAGAGGCTACATACAGTTCAGATGAAAACGCTTTTTTTTGGCATTCAGCATCGCCAGGAGAGAGAAATAGTGTCCAGTAGCGGCGGCACGTTCACGGAACACTCGTACGCGCGGCACTAAACCCACTCCAGTCCACCCCTCGCCTCATCCCTGGTGTCAAAGTAGTGCTCGACTCTGCAGGGGCACGCTACCGCCAGGAGGGTGGGCGCACGCTCCAATCCTCAGCTAAAAGATCCGCTGCTCTCATTGCAGTCCAGTCTGCCAAGCGGAGCGCAGCGGGCTGAGCGCACAGACCGCATCCTCTCACGGATTTACGTCGTTCGTTTCGTCTTCAAGCAAAGCAGCATCCGGAGTCACATCTTTCAGCTTTGGACAATGTTTCTCCTGCAGTACACAGGTAGGTTACACTCAAAGTTTGTCTTTTTTCTTACGATAATAACACAGGACTCTCCATGCATCCTATATAGGCTCCCTCCTTGCTGCAGTTGTAATGGCTCCATATCTCGCTCTTGTTGTGCTGTCTATCGCAAGTTGAATTTTGCTCCAGTTCAGACTTCAGTTGCACAGCCAAACGCATTTACCTGCTTCTTTCTCCAGTTTTTATCAACAATTTTTGCGTTAGCCTTGACTCATTACGCGCACTTGACTCATTTGACTTCGGATTCTATCTATATCCACATATTTGAATGTTTATGCGTCAGTATATTGTCGAAGAGCGCACTGTGTTTATTGACGCACACGTATCTGTTCAGAGATGAAGTTTTCCGAATGCATTTGTGCCAGTGCTGACGCTTAATTGCAGCGATGGGACATTTTCACGCATTATTCACGCAGCATGCCGTTGTATTGTGGCAGAATAATAGACCACAGTGAGTCACGTTGTGGACCCTATTAGGAGGGCAGTGTCCATGCACACACGGGATGAATTAAATAGACCACATTGCTTGGTTAACAATTAGAAATAAGTCTGAATTTACAATGGATTTTCACATCATGCTCAACATTTTACCTATCTGGAAACGCATCGTGGTTTTGGGTCTTGATAAACTTGCTGATTCCGTGAAAATAGAACTTATTATATGTCCTTATGCTCAAATTTTGTCCTAATCCTCAGTTTTATATTCCCTTTTCCTCTTTTTTTCCAATTCTCTTCTTGGAATTCAATTGACAAAATAGACCAGTGTGAAAGAGAAGCCCCATCAGTGCGTGTGACAGCCAGTTACCTCCACTGCCCCGGTCCCATGGATAAAATTGGCAGAGCTGCTTTATATTGCTCTCCATGATGCAGGGAAGAGGCACTTGGCTTAGATCTGTCATGGAGGAGAGAAGATCGAATGCTTGTACACAATGTGCTGAAGGAGGAGCCTAAATGTTTTAACTCTATTTGACTTGTGCTATGTGAAGTTCTTGACATTTCAATGCTGGTAATGAGTTGTAAGTAGGATTATAAAATCAATCGCAATTTGAGTGGACCCAATTAGCAAACTGTAAACCACTGCAGTTTCTTGAAGTATCATAATTTCCTACGCAAACAATAAAATATCCTGTCTTATTCTGCATAAAACTGCTAGGCTTGTAGTTTAGATCTTTACAAACATGTTTCTCAGTTCATATTTCAGTCTTTTGTCAGTTCTTCTGGACGTGTTTTTCTCAAATTGTTCAGCCCCAGTAGGAAGGTAGTCACGCTCCCCTGTTGTTGGAATAATAGCCTTGCGTGTTAATGACAACAAAGTAGACCAAGTATGGAAATGCTGGCATCCCTTTGTAGCTCATTAAAAGTGGACTCTCTGTTCTTCGGAGGTAAAAGGATTCAGAGATAATTGCTGCGCTGCATTTGAAGATGTGGCACTTTTCTGATAGAAAAGCATCTAACGCACAGGGGACGATAAAGGTTAAAGTTGCACCATGTAACTTTTTCTTTGGGGGTCCGTCACCTTTTTGTTTCTATGGATATGTCAGTGCTCTACCTGGAATGTTCCACAGTATGACATTAAACAGCTCTACCTTACATTTATTCAATTACAGGTGGCTTTATAGCTCAAAAATTCCTAGAAAAGCAGGCATTCTGACTGAGCAGGGTCGCATCTCCACAGATCTGCCCTGGAACTATAGTTAAGGGTTACTTCAAACATGTGTGAATGAAACAAAACACAACTCAGAGTTTTTGATGAGGACACAACATTATGACCATGTGTTAAGCTCAGAAGAATCCATTTTGAGTAATACAGGATCACCAAATCTACCTCCGTCTCTCATTCAAGACATGGTAGGGCCTGACTGAGGAATTAAGGTTGAAGGATTTTATCTGTTATGTCTATTTTGGGTTGATGGAGAAACCAAATTGCACAGAGGAAACTCACCCAGACACAGTAAGAAACATGCAGACTCCACATGGAAAGGTCACAAGGGTCTCTAAACCTGAAACTTCTTGCTGTGAGACATGACTGCTCGTCTCTCTGCGACAGTGCCACCAGATAGTCAATTTGTTGATGATGTTTGCAATATGCTTGTTGTTGGTAATACATTATAGGAAATAGGATAAAAGGTTTAAAGTTATCTGTAAACTATATTTTTATTATATATATATATATATAAGATGTATGGCATTTTTCATGAAATCACCTCAGTGCAACAGAAACTATCAAATTGGCCAAATTCTGCAATAGAACGTGACAGTTTTATGAAGAAATACAAATCCGTTAACAACTAAATTGGGTTTGGGTGGAATCTCTTGAGGATCATTGGAGTTGGCAGCAGCAGTAGTTTACCTGTCACTTGGCTATTTAAAAGCTGAAAGACACTGGCAGCCCAAAGGATACAGTACAATAAATGCTCTTTACATTATGCATTGTGAAAGCAGTTACATAATTTGAGAGTGTAATATATGGTTTATGCATTTTACAAAGCATTTTGTCAGTATCAACTGTTTTCATCCAATCAGGCACATTGTTCGCTAAGAATCATAGGAAACCAACTGCCTGACACTTGATTTTCTGTTATGGTGCATTCCTCAAAAGTAACATTACAGTAGAATTTTACTCTAGTATTACAATTTCCATCTGTTTTATTCAAAGTCAGAGCAGGGAGAGCTAGTCTTTCAAGCAAGGGAACTCTTTACATTTTCATTGTTACTACAGGTATATATACACGCTGAGCAGATGCCAACAACCACATGAGATTATCCTAGACAGTTGTTTCTCTGTCATGGTGCAATATCTGAACGGCACAAAGGAATAAGTGGGTGGAGCTAACAGTTAAAACTAAAACATGGTCCTTACTCATGGCTCAAAATCAGTAGCCTGATTCATCAGCTGGTTTCACTTCGTAGAAACCGTCTGACCTTGCAGCGTTAGAGTTCATTCTCTTAACAGTAGGCGTTTACTTTTTTTCATTTAACCAATCACTGCTATTTGGTCGTGACTTTTGTAATGCACCGCTAACGGGGATAACTGGTATACTAAGCTTTTCCCAAATCCCATAGGAAGAAGGGCAATAAAGTCTTTCCCCTTGATAAAATTCACTAAACATTCTCTTTGTTCAAGCGTTAAATCCTCGATCTCGGGAATCGTTGCCAACACAGAAAGTATGGCTCTTCGCTGATTGATTGGTGCTCGAACTCGCATTTCCGGGGTTCTCGCAAACGTCTAGTGTATTCGATTCCTGACCTAGTCACTGGAGAGAAAAGAAATTGAGCGGAGGCACTAGGTGGCACCGGCCTGGCTACAAAATCAGGTCCTTAAACTCAAATCTTAAAAATGAAATTAACAACTGTTACACATAAACTAGAGGAACCCTTCACCAACATGCTAGGAGCTACATAACACAAGACCACTGAACTGCATTGGCTTATTATAGTGTTTAAGCTGTATGTGACAGGATTGTGGCTCCTGCACCACTACGATAAACCTCACTGACAGTCCCTTTGAGTCCAGGGCTGAATGGAGGAGCAGTTTCTGGAGAATCTGGATTAAGAACCAGGCCCACTGTACCAAGCACTATAGGAGCACCTTCTGTACTGAGCTGTTCTCTGGAGAGCCTAAGAAGTGGAGCTGTTTTTAGCATATTTCCTACAGCAGCAAAGTCAAGAGAGGCAAATGAGAATATTGTGTGATGGATGACCGCATGCATGTAGGGCACCACTGCTGTTCCTCCTGATCTATAAATGTGTCCATGGCCACAGTAGGGGTAGGCAATAGGGGTGGGATGAGAAACAGATATCAATAGATGAGACAAGAGATGAGATTGGGTCAAAGAGAATGAGTCAAGGGGAGATTCTGATATAAATTATAATGATATGTGCGATTCAGTTCACAAATGTGGCTTTTTCTTTTGTCTTTGTATCACTACTTTTTGGAACTATGACTACGCATGAGATGTAACTCAGCTTACTATTTTTGTATGTGTCCCAATAACTAACTTTTGCAGTCCAAAAGGAATCATTGGTTGATGTTGAATGGTCAGAAAACCAACTCTTGTGAGCTTTAATAATGCCAGAATGTTGTCAAAAACATCCTTGGAGTTGTGTTTTGTTTCATTCACACATGTTTGACTAACCCAATAGTATTGGTCTATCTACATCTCCAACAGCTCAAAATGCATTGTTAGACCTTGTGACATCATGAAGTTGCCGTTTTCAAGTTGACAGCCCCCTTTTAACTTTTTTTTTTTTCAGTAGAAAGTTTAAAAAGACAGTGGTGCACTTCTTGTAGCACAGCAGGACATCACAAGGGAAATAAAGTCTTCTTTTTGAAAGAAGAACTCCTAAATATGCAGAGTTTGTGTTAAACTTGTGTGGATGACACTACAGGGGTGTTTGTGATGAGGAAACAACATTATAACATAGATCAGAAAAAAAGCGCAACGTGAGCCCCTTCAGTATCACTATTAGATGTGAAAAGACTGCACAGAAATACCATTTAATGTCCTTGGTGGAAAGATTACAATAAATCTTTTACCATTTTTGTAATCATTAATTATGTTGTTTTTTGATACATTTTAGAACAGTTCATTACTAATATGCTGAAAGGCTTACACAGCATTTCTGTTGTGTCAAATGCTGAGCTGCAGTTCACTGTGGTAACAAGCAAATGACTTCCTGGTTGAGAGCACTGAAGGAGAACTGACATCTGGAAAGCAAAACTAATTTTCTTAAAAAAGTACACTGTATAACTTTGCAGTTCGGGGTCCATCACCAGCTGGTTTCTATGTCATTGTCCTGCCTGGAATGTTCCACAGTATGACATTAAACAGATCTATGTTACATTTATTCAAATACAGATGGCTTTATAGCTCAAAAATACCTAAAAAAAAGCATACATTCTGATTGTGAGCAGTTGTCTCTCAATGTCCACAGCTCTGGCCTGTAACTTCATCTGGTTTGGTCTCCATGACGATAGA